AGTTCAGCCTGGCAGATTTGACAAACTATCAGCTGAGCTGCGACACTACATTGATGATCAGGGTATGCAATTAATAGAGACAGCTTCATTTCACAGTGCTGTGATTCTTGCTTTACTATTTGGAACCTCACAGTTATGGATTTCTGTTAGTAGCCCCTCCAAGAAAAAAAATTCCAGCAAATAGACCTGTCACACAGATATCAAAATTTTGTTTAACTCAACCATAAAGAATCTCCTTCTGTTCAAGTTTGATTTAACCTCTGTCCTATGGTACTATATATTTATTTCATCCCAGAATGTCTTTGAACAGGAATTAAAATCTCTCCCTCCCTCCACCCCTACCTCCCTCCACCCACACCTATATTCACGCTAGTATTGTTTTTTAAAAAAACACATGAATTTTTTCATAGTCTTACATTTATAATCAGTTCACTTTATTTTTTTAAAGGAATAATATAGGTTATTTTCCCCTTAGGTAATAACCTTTGATAGTTTAGACGCTGCCGCAATTGCCTTTCAAAGCAATTACCCTTTATTAGCCAGACCTACTCAAACAATTGCAACAAAGTCTTTTAAAATACCATTTTACTTTAGTGTTTTCCATATTTGGTGATTTATATCAGATGTCAACATTTTGCAACTTAGCTCTATTATTTTCAATAGTATATACACTTTGTTTAATTTTTTAGGAATCACTTTTGAGTATTTATTCATTTTGTGTACCGTGAAATACTGCTATTTCAAGTGTGTGTGTGTGTGTGTGTGTGTGTTTGTGTGTGTATGCCGGGCAGGGGAAGTTCCATCTTGACCAATTGATTTCTTTTCAGGTATAGAATGAAGCTGTGATTGACGAAATTCCAAAACAAATGTATCTTATATGTAATATTTCACTGTCACACTTTATGCTGAATGGTATATGGAAGTAATAGCCCCTATCATTAGAGCCTTCACTTGTTTGCAGGAACAGGAGGCTGTATCCATACTATTTACATTGAATTGTATTGAATTTAAATGGACTCTCATCTGCATTGCATGTGTCTGGAAAGCTGACAATATTTAAAAAAAAGATTAAAAACAATGTAACAAAATGATAAAATTAAATAGCAATCAGGAAAAATAACCAAGTAACAACAAATAATAATGATTTGAAAAAATAATATTAATATAATAATACCACAATATTTTTAATGATCAGCTCATCAATTTCTCTAAAAAGGTGGCAAAAAATCTGCTATTGATAATGGCTCTTAGAAGCCATCTACTACCCATGTAATGTAGACAATTGTAACATAGGCTATTTTTAGTGCATATTTCCAGCATGTATAAACAACTGTTTCCCATTGATCTATAAAAATGATAATGTTAACAACTGAGTTTGATGACCCATTCTTAAGTGATCAAACAAATTCCTGATCTAACTGAATTTATACTAACCTCAGCTGTTTCAGAATAGACATGATTTAAATTAGTAAACAGGTTTTTTTTTTCAATTTTGTTTCTGAGCTCCTTTTAGATTAAAACTGCAGAGAACTGTTGAGGTCTTTTCTTCCTGGTATAAGATTTTGATGGTTTTGTGAATGGCAGCTGGTATGAGATAAAATCTGACTCCTCATTTATCCTCTCCTTCTGCTCTTTTCATTCCTTGACTGACATATTTTGAACAATAGATCATTTTGCAGACAAAGTTCTGGTGTCCTAAGTGCTTTCCCTTAGTAGATATGACTTAACTTTCATTTTCATTTTAAGCTTTTTAGTCATCATGTCTTTAAATTAAAATTGCATTGTTAATCTGCTTACTTAGAAGTAAGAACCAGTGAATGTAATAGACCTTTGGAATTGACATCTATAGGATTGTGCTGCCAATTTAATTTAGTTACGCCATAGACTTTTGTGAGCTGTTTGCCGTGGTGGAGATTTGCATATATATTAACTTTGTCATCACTTGATGATTTGAATGTATCTATGATGATTTGATGTGTTTGCGCAAAAAGGTAATAGTCAGTAAAATTGACTGGATATGGGAAAAGGCGCGTACACACATACACATAATGAAAGAATTGGTGTATTAAACTATGATATTTATGAGTCATCATTTTAAAATGTAAAACTAAAGCAAGAGCTTTTTCAGACAGAGACATTTCTCTATTGGGTAAACAATAGTGAACGAGTCAATTTTGATAGACATTATGAATATATATGACAGTTTCAGTATTATTCTGCAGAAAGAGAGAAACATATCTGAGAAATACTTGACAGGTGATAACAAACATTTTGCTGTTGTGCAGCCAGAAGATAGTTCTATTTGAAAATTTCATTCACACTATTGCTGAAGAACCATTAAAAGTCCTATGCATACTTTTGCATCCAGTGTAATTTTTTCATGGAAGCATACATAACTTTTAAACACTATTATCATTTCAAAGAAGTATATGGAAGATTGTTCAGTTGAAATTATTAGTGTGACTAATTCTTATATTCAGACTTAATTCTCCCCTGCCCTCTTAAGTCATTTATTGTAGATTTCTGGGTCTTTTTTCTTTCAGGAGTCCAGTAAATATGTTTTCCATATCGATTTAGCTTGGATATCTAGATTGTTATGCTAATTTCTTAATGTTGGTTCTATTTTTTTATTATTGTGCCTCAGCTTGTGCCTCAGCTTCTGAATGTGTGTGTTGTTTTTATAGTTGTTTGTTTTAATGATTTTTTTTTACTGTCCAGAGTCATGAATCTGAGATAGGTGGATGTATAAAGTGAATGAATGAACGAACAAACGTATGAACGAATAAACGGATGAATGAATGAAAGAAAGAAATATTTTATAGTGAGGTGGTTATTGTTGTATAATAGCTCGTCATATTTCCTGAAGCTTGGGACACATCCCACATACAGACCTTCAAACACATAATTCAATATTAAATGTCATAGAAAGTATACTGTTATCTTTGTACAGTTGTACAAAGTGATAATGACTAAAGTTGTAGTGGTAGTGACTACTACAAGAAACTAAAGACTGGCATGGCCAATGTATTTTCTCGCACTTTATTAAATATTAATATTCAATAATTTGAAAATAATTGTTTTGTTGATGGCCTGTCTTAATACCATGTTTCTCCAACAATACGGCCTCCTCCAATAGGAAGACCCAAATGTTTTCTAGGCATAAAATGAAATTAAGCCCCTCCCCCAAATTTAGGCCTATTTAAAAACATGCGAAATGTGGGGAAGGGCAGGGGGACTTACCATTAGGAGCGCCCCACGGGCAGCCATGCCTCGCCACCAGCTGCTCCTAAAGGGCAATCATAGCAGAGCACAGAGAGCTCCCTATTCCTGCCAAGCACCTTTGCTGCAGACCCAAGACCTTCAGCGCCTGCCACTGTTGATTTCCCTTCTGCCCATGCTGCCGCCGCATTTGGAGCTGGCACTTCCACGTTTGGAGCACCTCCACTATTTGGAGCATCATTGCCGTTTGGAGCTGCCGCGTCTGCATTTGGAGCTGCCACCGCATTTGGAGCACTGCTGCTGCATTTGGAGCTGCTGCTTCCGCGTTTGGAGCATCGCCACCATTTGGAGAACCACTGCCGTTTGGAGCACTGTTGATGCTCCAAACGCACTCCAAATGGTGGCAGCACTCCAAATGCGATGGCAACTCCAAACATGGAAGTGGCAGCTCCAAACATGGCGGGATGGGCAGAAGGGAAAGCAACAGCGGTGGGCGCCGAAGGTTTCAGGTCTGCAGCAAAGGTGTTTGGCGGTAATAGGGAGCTCTCTGCGCTCCGCCATGATCATCCGTTAGGAGAGTCTGGTGGCAAGGCTGCCCACGGGGCGCTCTAGATGAGGATGCAAGGGGGGGAATTAAGTCATCCCCGAAAAGACGGCCTAGCCATTTTTTCAGGGCTCAAAAAAATATAAGACCCGGCCTTGTTTTATGTGAAACACGGTAGCTTAAGCATGAATCAATTACTTTAATAACTTAGTTGGGAATTAACACTGTTATGAGGGACACATATTTATAATAATACATGGTTGTTTTTTTCTCTGTGAACAAAGAGCTGCCCTGAACCCTCTACCTGGAGTGAGCTTAAGTAACAGTCCTGGTGGATTTGTCTTTTGTGCATGCACATACATGCTCAGAATACTGGGAAAGATTCCTCCAAGCAGCTAGTCTTCAAAAGACTGTTCACTTGCAGCTTGTCCCTCCAAATATTTTTCACAACACAACTGTTTATTATTGTTGATTTCTTTCAGCCAATTGAACAAACAGCAGGTGATTATAACATGAATATTTTGTTTTACTTTGGGAGAAGAGAGGAGACTCATATCTTAGAAGATAAGATCATTACTAACATAAAGATATGTAAAGAATGGTTACAGTAATATAATATTTTTTTGAAAAATATTTCTGTGCTTATGGAATTGTGAGGGTTATACAATAGCAATGAAGACTTGATATTAAAATTCATGTCATCTCATATTGGATATAAGCTGCAAAATTTCATATTCTACTTTTGAAAATTGCATAAGGTCTTCAAGTACAATGTTTTGGAAATGTTCACAACAATGTGTGAAACAACCAGAATTAATAATCTATATTACACGGAAACAGGTTTTTGATGAAAGAAAAAAATATGTTTTCCCAGAGTTGTGGGACTGCATATAAATTTATTAAATAAGATACATTTATTTAATTCAACAAGTTCATTTATAAACCGACTTTAGAACAAGTAGACCTATAAATCTGGGCTGCAAAAGTCTGAATGAACACTGGATAAGAGGAAAGTGATATAGAAGGTCCTACCATTTTATGGCCATCTTTTGGAATCCAGATTTTTTCAGTCTGGTAGCTCTAAAATAATAGAATTCCAGTTTCAGACAAAAATGTAAAAGTTTTGAATGTCTTTATTAGGAGCACGTATCGTGTGTTTTCTCTATATCATATATTGAAGTTTGTTTAAAAGAAGATATATTTAAAATAATACCTGTTTTGTTTCCTTCTTTCTTAGCCTGCGGACGTGGATTTTATAAGTCATCTTCACAAGATTTGCAGTGTTCCCGCTGCCCAATGCACAGTTTTTCAGACAGGGAAGGATCTTCACGATGTGATTGTGAAGACAGCTATTATAGAGCACCTACTGACCCACCGTATGTTGCATGCACAAGTAAGTTATTCTTGAGTTGTTTCCTATTGCTTAGCCAATCACAATCATTGATTTCCCCTTCTCCCATTTAGTTCTGTATAGGACACAAAGCAACAGTAGAAATAGCAAAAGGGAGAAAGTTAGAAAGAAACAGTGTAGAATCTAATAAATTTAATGGTTGTATTTTTCAGTATAACCTGAAGCAGACGCTGAATAAACACATAACTGAAGGAAGTTGAATATGATTCTTATAGATATTTTCAACATGATATATGTAAGGTGGCAGAACATCAAATTAAGAATTTCTGAGAAGAAAATTAAGCCATTGTTGACTCATTTAATGAATATTTGCAGGCCTCTCAAAAACAAAGCTGTACCCCATGTTTTTGTAAATCACATTACAAAAGATTTTTTAAAAAAACCTTACAGTTATTTCAACTTAAGCATTTCAAAAAGAGCAAAAATGAATTTTGAAGAATTATCTGTGAGTCGGCTTCCGAGGTACATCAACTTATCCTTTAATTTCAGACATGAAAAGCTGGGAAAGGTCTGCAGTAAATACATAGAAAGTGCCTTTGTTTCCTTCATGGAAAATAAATATGGCTTCTTGTCAATTGAATTCAAGCAGGGTTTTTCGGTAGCGTGTGGTAGATAAAATGAAAAGTTTAAAGCCTGGCAAGCTTTAGCTTGAGTAATTAAAACATGAGCTAAAATTTCCCTGCTGATTTTTCTTTCAATCTCTACCCCCCGCCCCTGTCTTGTGTTTGTATTTAACAAAGGACCGCCATCTGCACCACAGAACCTTATTTTCAATATTAACCAAACTACTGTGAGTTTGGAGTGGAGCCCTCCTGCTGATAACGGAGGAAGAAATGACGTGACTTACAGGGTATTATGCAAGAGGTGCAGCTGGGAACAGGGTGAATGTGTTCCCTGTGGGAGCAATGTTGGATATATGCCCCAACAAACTGGATTAGCAGACAACTATGTCACCGTCATGGACCTGTTAGCTCATGCTAACTATACTTTTGAAGTTGAAGCTTTAAATGGTGTCTCTGACTTAAGCCGTTCCCAGAGGCTTTTTGCAGCTGTTACCGTTACCACTGGTCAAGCTGGTAAGTCATCGTATTTTAGAGTATATAGAACAAGAGACCTATATTGTTAACAACTGAAAGCCTTAACTCGCTGCACACAAATGCATCCATCTCTACATTGCTGGTAGCATGTTATTGGTGTGATACTGATTGCATAGATAGCTTTATGTCAGAGCATTTGGGTTTCTGATGGCCTGAAGTTTTCAAATTCTGAATGGTTGCCAGCCTGAATTTTGATGCAGATAGACTGGCTTAATAGTTAGGATAACTTACTTGTTAGCAGAACGACAACAACTAGGTTTGCCTAAGGCATTAGCATTTTGGTCAATGACTTTAAATCAAATCAGATAAATATCTCTTTCTTTGTGCTGTGTGGAATAAGTAGAACTCTTAGCTTTATATAAACAATGTAATAGCTGAGTATTTTGCAGCTCCATTAATTGAAATAGGTAAGTTATAGGTTTGCTTAAATTTGCTCCAGTGGGGCTTCACGGTGCTTAATGTTGGTTGAATTGTCCCTTATGAGTTTAAATTATTTTTGCATGTGTTCTTAATTTATTAAGGAATTTCTAAAACAGAGACACAGCATGATTTACTAAAGCTTTCACTATTCAATCAAGAAACCATGTGTCTTTTTTATATTACTGCCATCTAGTATATTCAGAGTTATATTTAATTTTGAAACAATTTGAAGCCTTCAGTAAATATCTGATTTACTTAGTGCATTCAGTATTCATAATCTTCTTCCAAGATTATGCTTCCAGTTTATTTTGTAGCTTCAGTTATTTTATGATGAAATTCAGTGAGACTACAACAATTATTATTTGTGGCTTATATTTATGATAATCTGACAGGTGAAATGAAACTAGAATGTCCCCAAAGGGGAAAATGTGTTTTAGTGATTTTGCATATTGAAATAGAAAACTTCCTATTCAGGTATGTGAAATAATAAATTGCTTGTTGATAAAATGGTGATCTGAGAATGCTGAGTTATTCATGCCTTTTTATTGTTGGTGGAAAGGAGATTGGTAACTGTAGTTGCTTTTTGAGATTTCAGTAAAATTTCTATATGAAGTTTTTTTTCAAGGTTCAAATGAATAACTTTGGACTAGAGAACTATTTTTGGAATATTAGATATTAGGTTATGCTTATAGTAGGCAAACTATATTCAGAGAATAAGATGGGATATTATAAGGGATTAGATGAATTCTTTTTCTTTTGTTTCATTGTTTCTTTTTGTTTTCCCATCAGTCCCCAACCAGACATTTATGCAACCACCATCTTTCCAAATGTAACTGGCAAGGAACATCACATATGCAATTCTAAATAGTTAATAATTAATTAATAATATATGTCAATTAATCATATGTATTTGCTTATGATAATTTCCTTGCTCCAGTATAAGAAATAATAAGAATAAATAAGAAGGAAAATATACATCATCAGTCTAAGATAAGTTTTGAAATAAGGGCCTTTTCCATCTATTGAGTTAGAGTACAGTAATTGGTATAAATTTTGCCAGTCCATATCATGTTGTATTGCCTTTGTTTCAAGTCACCGCAGTCACTTGATTTTCCTTCAAGAAAATGTGTGAAGAAAGCTGCTCTTAAACAGAAGATAGAACATAGAATTGGGACTGGAATAGACCTTGGAGGCTTGTAGTCTAACCCTCTGCCTCCCAGTCAAATGCCGTCCCAGTCAAATGGTTGTCCAGTCTATTTTTGAAAACCTCCAGTGACAGCATAAGGCTGATAAGGGAATAACATAAAGGTTGGGGATGGGGATCTGTTTTATTCATGCACTGGATATAAAATAAAGATAAGATCGTGAGAACACAGAAATAAAAGATATTCGGATAAATGATGTGATTTTCAACTGTTATCCTTTTTAATACTGTTGCTTAGACTCTATTTTTTGGGAAATGGGAGTAGCAACGCTGTGCAACATTATGATTGTGACAAAGAAGATCTTATTTCCTTCATTAGAGAGTTTCACAATTTGGATTCTACCACACAAAAGATCCTAAATATTTTTGTCTTAAAGTTGGCTGGGAAACTTTTATGGGACCTGAAATCTACATATCTTAAAGCTGCCAAATTTGAGAAACAATCTTAATCAGTTTGGCTGTTTTTCTGTTTGTCCTCATCCGTCGTCTTCAGACTCCCAAAGCTACGTAGGCCTAACTGGGGGTATTACAGTAGAGTTTCTGAGGCATATGCTCCTCTGTTATTCCATTACAGTCTCAGTCTCTTGCAATTCTCAACTACCATTAACTACCCCACCCTGAAATAATTTCTGGGCAGAGAGCACAACTTCCAATTCTCCATTTGGACAAGAACTAAAGTATGCTCTCTCAATTCGCCCATTCTTTGCCTGTGTTTGTTCTATTTGCCTTAAATTTGTAGCTGAGTATTTTGACTTTTACCTGTGCACTTGTATTATATGTTATTCTGCTTTATCATTATTGTACTCCTTGTCTTGTGTTTCTACATTTTTATTCCTTGCTACATAATTTATATTTACTTAATATGGACTGTAATATAGATTGATGGATCTATCCATTTTCATTTTCTAGTATTTCTTTTCTGGACCTATGCCTGTAATAAATTATTTGATTTGATTTGATATCAGCAGCTGTGGAAAATTCAGGAGAATAAATCAAAGTTTGCATAAATCACTGTATTCATACAGTTTTACCCAGACATAAAGTTGCGTAGGTCTTTGTGTATAACTTTGTACACATAAAAAAAAAATGACCTGAGGGTATAGGTATTTTAATTGAAAGGAATATAGAGAAAGGCTGGGGCTATGATTTTTGAGCAATTATGCATAACACAACCCTTTCAGTCACTTATGTCCTCCTAGATAGGAAGACAGTCTGAGAATAAATATTAAAATAATTTCAATCAGTCCAGTATGAATTTACTTTATTTTTAAAAATATTAAATATTCTCTTCAATTTAAAAGGTAAGGTTTGTTTTAAAGTATTTCTTAAAGCAACTTTACCTGGACTCGTGAAAATTAATTAATTGATTATGTTATTTAGGCCCAAACCTAACATTTCAGCCAGTTAGGACCATACTGTCTGTATCAACTTCAGCATTTAAAGCTTCATTTGTGGATTTACCATTTTCCTCCTGGCTGGTTATGAAAATGGAACAAGAAAAATGAACTACAATGTGCAGAAGTATAAAACAACAAAATAGGCAACCAAATCAAAGGAAGCCATTAACATAACAGATTGGGGGGAAAACAATGTTATCTGATGATAACTTGCTGAATTTAAATATACATACGTATTTTGTCCCTAGTTTTGTTGTATTGATTGCCAGTTTTTTCCAATGTCTGTTGACGTTGATTTCAATACATAAAGATCCTGAATCTCAGCATCAAAAGGAACTAAGTCCTTTCAGACAGTAAGCATTGTACACTATGTTCAAAACAAAAAAAAATCCATTTTATACATGAACCATTCTCTGTTCTGTATATGGAACAAGTCATGCAAGAAACCTTTTGTACATCTTACTTAGCATCAATCAATCATGAACAGAGAAAACCTTTTACTCATTTGTATATCAGTTTAATTTTGCTTATACTAAACTGCATTTTATGGTAATCTCTCTTCTTTCTATTTTACATCTATTGTTATATTTTTATTGCTTTGATCACCTCAGTAATTTAAACAGCAAAATGATCCCTGATTCTGGATCATGTAAGCACAAGTTTATTTATTTTTTAATATAATTTTATTCATAAACATTTTTGAATACAGCGTTTTATCTGAGTATACTATTTACAAGAAACAAAAAACAGCTAATACTATAACAAGTATTAACCCATTAACTAATAATAATATTAATAATATAATCACACATAAATTAATAGCTCTAATGATACTATAATAGCTCCAATATAATATAAATATCACCAAAATTTTTGAATACATTTTTTTATGCTTAACTCATTCATATTTTTAGTATTTATAGTGGTTATAGTTATAAACCATCTCTGTTTTTAATACACACATTCATTGTTTTTCTTCCTTTATACGTACAAACCATTGTCCAGAGCTATTTTTTTATATTTCTTTCATGTTTGCTCATGCTTTCTAATCTTCAAGACTTTATGGGCCAACTAGACAATCTAATAGGAGAAGTAGTAAACACTATCTTACGTAAAGTTGTTTTACTAGAGGTAGTCCTCGACTTACAACCACAATTGAGTCCAAAATTAATCTTGCTAAGTGAAACATTTGTTAAGTAAATTTTGCCCCATTTTACAACCTTTCTTGTCATATTTGTTAAGTGAATTAATGCAGTTGTTAAGTCAGTAACATGGTTGTTAAGTGAATCTGGCTTCTTTACTGACTTGCTTGTCAGAAGGTCATAGAAGGTGATCATGTGACCCCAGAACACTGCAACCATCACTAAACAAACTGTTTCAAGTCAAGGGTTACTGTATTAGAAGCATTTTGGGATTTTACTCTACTATTCCATGATGATATTGCTGAAAGACTCTTATTGGGCACTTTGTGGGTGTTATACAGCTGGTGATAACTTTTCTTTTACAACTTTCTTATAAATATAAATGAAGTTATCACACTAGAGCAGGGGTGTCAAGCTGGCGGACCTCAAGCCATGCCCACCTCAGCTCTGCAAATGGGGGAAACATTGCAAAACATCATGTGACGGCAATGTGACGTTGCAAGTTTGACACCTGTGTAGTCAGTCCTTACACACATAGCTCTATTACTTGTGAAAAGTGGGAGTTGGGAAGAAAATTTAGAGGGGGAATTTTACTTTACCCATTTTAACTCATTGATTTTATGCAAATGTAGTCAAACATATTTTTCCCAGGATAATATTGCAGGATCCAATCTGAGTTGGTCACCGGGACCAAAAGTTTATACTTCTAAGCTTTCAGGCTTGTGCTGCTGGAGCCCATCATCAGGGAACTTCTCTCTCCCCACAATATATGCACTGTGCTATTCAGCATGTTATATTTATATGGTATTTATATCA